AAAGATTTGTGACAAATCTGTGTTGACAGGTAGATATAAGATTATCATGAGATAAATGTTCTATGATTTTATCTCTAATTATTTTCTCAAGAATTTTACAGGTAACAGGAGTGAGGGAGACTGGTTGATAATTTGCTGGATCTGTTTTGCAGCCTTTCTTAAATAATGGAGTAACACTGGCTTCTAACCAGGACTCTAATAATTCAGATTGATCAATTGAACGTTGAAATATACGCGAATGGTTTGGTTAATGGTTTTGCATACTTTTGTAAAACTAATGGACATACGCAGTCAGTGCCCAACGATTTGATTTGTTTTTTATCCACTTTTTTTATGCTAGTATCTGACTCAGTGATCAACGCATTAATTGGGCTTGATGATGAACGTTTAGAATTTCTATTGTTGAAAAGCCTTTTTGGATTGCATTTATCGTTTGCTAAATCTTCTTCAAAGATTCTAATTGCTGAACAAGTATACTTTTTGACTTGATTACAAACTGTATTATAAAGATTAATTAGATATGAACTTTCCACTTTGTGTTTCTACTTTTGTACCATAGTTGTTTTTTTGTTTTACTTAACTTAATAATGTCAATTGTAATCCAATGTTAATGTTTTTTGTGTGTGTGTTTTGATATAGGAGGTATGAATTAAGCCTTTTTATGGGCCAGAGCCTAAAAATAAATGACTAAAAAAAAAAAAAAGGGCTTTTTAAAATCTTTTGGGGCCCCTAAAATTACGGGGCCCGGGGCTATAGGCCCCTAGCACCCCTTGATCCAGCACTGTATGCATTTTATCAAAGTGAAGTTTTACAACTAAAAATAGTCACAATTCATACATTAATTACCTAAATAAAACTTCAATATGTGTAACTATGAATCATCAATTTAAATCATATCATGTATCTCGTTCATAAGATGGAAACCAATTATAACCATCTCATTCTTTGATTTTTGATCCACCAGAACTTTATTAAATAAACTTACACTGAAAATCAAACTACAAGTTAAAAAAATTAAGACAGTATTATTGAAATCAACTATGACCAATAGTTAATGTTAAGTTTTTTTTATTCTTTACCATATTAAAAACAAAGAAAAGTCAAATCAAAGGGACACACAATTATTCACAAACATAATTACTTGCATTACTTTTTGGATTCCTCTGTAATCGTAAAAACAAATCCTTCGCATATCTTTATCTATTACTAATTATTTAGTAAAATAAATTTAAACAAAAATGTAAAAATTAAAAGGTAGAATAAGTGTAAACAGATTACGATATATATTTAGGTAATAATAATACAATAAACAAATTAAAAATATTACTTATCCTAAAATAAAAATAAAATTTATTTGATCCTAAACCTTGCGGCTCTTGGTTCAGTTGCTTGTGGGACCGTAATTTTAGCTTATATTGGCCTTGAAGTAGCTAGACCACTGATACTACACGCAGATGAAGATATTTACGTGAAAAATTCTAAAATTTTCTTGCCCATATAAAAGTACCGTAGTTGTTTGAACCGGGACTTTTAGAGTCAAAAAACATTCTTGAGCTAGCTGACTATTTTCGTATCAAAATGGCAAAAAATCTTTATAAAAATAAAGCTTCCTTTTAAAAAGTTCAGGGCTCCTTAATCTTTAGAGCATGGTGTTACAGCCCTCATAATTCAGGACAAGTTTAAACTTTCTCTGCTTAGTTTTTAAATAATAAATACATTTTCGCAAAAAAATTCTAAAAAAAAACTAATTATGCCAATTACTTTTCTTTCAAATTAAGTACCTTTTCTGAGTCTCCCATGGGTACATGCGCCTTCTGCTAACTGCCTTATTTCAGCTTTGTCTTAATTTCAGACCTTTCAAATGGCTGGCCAGAGTGAATAATTTTGAGACGGTTTGATTCAGAGAGTGGTTGTTATAGCTAAAACTATGCACCGGAACTAGAGAGAGTTTTAACCATGGGCAGAAACCTATTATTGATGTTTTCAAAATTTTCTGGGAAGAAATACCTAAAACCGCGCAAATCAAATGTTGCGGCAAACTAAAAGTTCGTCTTAAAGTTTTACTTTTTTGCATTACTTTCGTACAAGATCCTGTCAAAGTTATTATAAAATATAAGTAAATTTATTTACTTACTTCATATAAATTACTTTTAATTTACTTTTTAAATTATATAAAATGTAAGCTTATGTATGTTTAATTTTATTTTATACTATTTATTTTTACGTGTCTATTCGAACGTTTTTCACGTGCGAATAGACTATATTTATTTATAGTCTATTCGCACGTTTAATTAAAAAAAAGTAAAGAACACCGAATTTAAAAGAAATTTAGAAAAATTATATTTATTATTATTTGTTTTTAACTTTGAAATTAAACTTGCGCAGTAGAGTACAAACGCAGTACTTACGTTGACTGATTTTTGAAGGATATGCGCACTTCAGTGTATATACGTATTGATTGCTTATCTAGGGATAAATATACATACAATGACAAGGCTTTTTGAATAAAAAAATAGTTAGGTTTAAGTAATTTTATTTATTTTTATTATAATTGATTAAAAAATTTAAATTGCTTTCAAAATATATGACTTAAGTTTTAACATTTTTTGTTTGTGAAAGATTTCATATTGAAAAATCTAACTTGAAACTTTATTTTATAAGTGCGAATAGACTATAATAAAATATAGTTAATTCAGACGTGCGTGCGAATAGACTCACCCTTATTTTTAATATAGATTTGTTATTACTTTTAAAATAAAAAATTCCTACTTATGCAATATTATTTTCTTTGTAAATTCAAGTTACATTTGGTAGCTTATTACTTTTATTTAATTTAATATTCATATGCAAGTTACTTTTTAATATAGTTTCTTTTTTAATTAGTTACTTTTATAGGTGAATGTAAATTACAGTTTAAGGAACTTTCATATTTTGAATGTAATTTTCAAAAGTTATTAACTTTTAAATGTAAAAGTAAACAGATTTTTCATGTGACTCACTTTTACATGTGAAAGTAAATTACTTTTTGATGCAATCTTCCTTTACATAACTTACTTTTAAAAGTAAAAAAACTTAGATTAAAAAATAAAAGTCGTTTCAAAAAAATTAATTACTTATACGGAAATGTAAGTTTACATAAAACGTTTAAAATTACTTATGTAATTTACTTTTTAATAAAAATTAACTTTTTTTCTTTTTTACTCGTGTAAGTAAAAAAAAAAAGTAAGTAAAAGAGCCATCCCTACTTTTTACTGAATGGATCGACGATATTCTTAATTTCTTTTTGTTTTGTTTATAATTTATTGATAGTGAACCACTGACCTTTACATTTAAAATACTTCCGTTTTATATCTGAAAATAGACTAAAATATCCTAAAAAACTAAATTTTAAAAATAAGAAATACATTATAATAATAATAAAAAAACAAGTTGTTTAACTCCATTTATTCTGAAACACAAAAAAAGTGTTTTAGTTCTCGACTAACGACCTAACGTAATAATAACGTAATAATAACGAGTTACCTAACGTAATAATAAACTCAGTGAATTCACCATTTAGATTTTTGAGAAAATTTTATTTTAAATAAAATTTTTCACTGCTTAGTTTATCTTAATCACATTCATTGTTTATAATTGTTTTTTTATAAAATATTTATAACCCGGTGGGAAATGAGCTAGCGACTAGCTAGCTTTATAGCGATTTTCAAACGATTTTTTTTTTCTTATTTTTTTTTTTCCTAATGTCTTAAACGTCTTTAAAAATTCGATTTTTAGTGTCAAGTCTATTATAATTATAAAAATAATTAAATTTTAAAAATTGCGATTTTGTAGCAAAGTGTCGCTAGCTACATATCGTAGCTTTATAGCTAGCTACAAAATATTTACAAATCTATAGCAAGTTGATAGCTATATATCAAAATTTTTTAGACAGCGAGTTTGTTACGATATGACGCTAGCTACAACAGCCAGGTCTAGCGATATGACGCTAGCTATAATAGCCAGGTCTAGCCATATGACGCTAGCTACAATAGCCAGGTCTAGCCATATGACGCTAGCTACAATAGCCAGGTCTAGCCATATGTCGCTAGCTACAATAGCCAGGTCTAGCCATATGACGCTAGCTACAATAGCCAGGTCTAGCCATATGACGCTAGCTACAATAGCCAGGTCTAGCCATATGACGCTAGCTACAATAGCCAGGTCTAGCCATATGACGCTAGCTACAATAGGTCAGTAGGTCTTTAGCTTATTAAACTAGCTGTTCTCATAACCAAATTGCTGTTTTTATCTTGACAAATATCGATAGCTTTTCGCTAACTTAAAAAAGCTACGGGTCCTCGTGGCCAAATCGCTGTCTTTATCGTTACGATTATAGCTAGCTATTCGCTAGCCGATTTCCCACCGGGTAACGTTTTATAAAAAAAATACAACTTTCAAAAAAATATAGGCTTAAGCAAATTAACTAAACTTCTATTTTTACATGAAATATAAAAGTTTGCTGGAAAAAATTACAAGAAATATACTGAGTTTTGAAACAAGATCAATGAAAGTATGATGGAAAAGATCACTGGATAAAGTTCGCTGGGTCTTCAACATTTTTTAACTGGAAGTTTACTGGGTTTTTCTAAGGGTAAGCAGGAAATAGGAACAACAACAAAAAAAACCTTTCTATTTCAAGCAGGCAATGAAATGATACTTTCACATACATATATATTTTCTTAATTACTTTAATTATTAGCTGTCGTTGGCTGTTGTTAGAAAATAACTATTTTTCACTAATTTTTTTTGAAACTCATAAATTTTCTAAACTTTATCAGGCTACAACCTTTAACTTTAAAATTTAGCAGCGCGTTTTTTCTGCGCGTTTTTTCAGGGCATTTTTTTCTGGAAAACATTTTTTTTTTATAGTGTTATATATTAGAATATATTTTTTAGTTCGTTTCATATAAATAATAATTATTAATAATACCATAGAAAATATATAAAAAAACTGTTAAGCGTTAAGAATGTCTTATATAACTCTTTGATAAAATTTAACTAAAGTTTACATGAGCACTGTTGTAGCTGGGAGGAGGCTCATCAGTGAGATTATTAAACGGAGTGTACATTGGCACTGTAGGTTCATACGGAGGAGGTGGTTCGTTGACGTAAAACCTGTTATATACTCCCATTTGATTATTAGGATCAGCTTGGGTAGGAACTAGTTCTTGAGTTGTATTTTGAGTTTCTGATGTAAATTGCACAATATCGCGTTGCATTCTAATAAAAATTGAGTTTTATTCAAAAAACAATAAGAAAACAACCCAAAAATGATAATATTATATTCAATACTTACCATTGCTAAAACCGAACTTTTCGAGATTTTATAATCCAGTCGGACTTCAGGAGGTCAGGTTTTAATTAAAATTACATTAAACCCAAGTTTCTCTATTAGAAACTGAAAGTGTTGAATAATAAAGAAAAAATATATAATGTTAAATTATAAAGAAAAAAGCATTCATGTTATCAAAAAGAAAACTAAAAATTAACAAAACTTTAAAATTAATGTTCTCGCCAACAATTACCTTTTTGAACGTTTCATATGAGGTTAGATTTTTTTTTCAAATAAAAAAATGCGTGGAAAAAAATAAATTTAGTATGTTACAGTTTAAAAAACAACATAGCAAGCATAAGTGATTACTTTTAAAAAACTTTTTTTTTTTAAATAAAATTAATAAACTTAAAAAATATGTAATGAATAAAAGTATGAAAATAAGAACTAAAATTGAAATCCACCAAATACAAAAAAATTAATTGGATTCTGAAAAATAAAATATATAGGAAATAAATCTTGAACACTAACTTCATGATGTCAGAAAATAATTTGATTATTGTTGATTTTAAGCCTGTTTTTATTCTTGGCATGATTGTTTACTGCATGACGATTTAAAAAAAATTGCCAACACAAACATACATTAAGCTTAGTTTACACTTACACATAAAACCCTAATACACCTTTTCACAGTTCTGGTATAAAATTTACGCGCAGAAATGGAAGTAAAAACGTAAACAAACGTTATTTTAACAGTAATTTGTTCGAGATTTACAAAGCAAAACTTAGGTTTATCAAACAATATAATTAAACCAGTGCCATTAGTCTTATATAATTATTAAAAAAAAGAGCCTGTCTAATCCATTTTAAATAACATATTAAAGTACTAATCTAAAGTAAAAACCTGCACCATTACAATAATAATGATAATAGTATAAATAATCATTACAATAATATTATAACAATAATAATAATAATAATAATAGTAATAATAATAATAATAATAATAATAATAATAATAATAATAATAATAATAGTAATGATAAAAATTATAAAAATAATAAAAACAATAATAATAAGATGACGATGAAGAGAAATATTATTAGTAACAATACTAACAGTAACAATAAAAATATTATATATATATATATATATATATATATATATATATATATATATATATATATATATATATACACATATATATACGTATATATATTTTATATATATATATATATATATATATATATATATATATATATATATATATATATATATATATATATATATATATATATATATATATATATATACATTATACAAGAGAATTTTAGAATACAATCTAAATATTTGTTGCGATTTGTAATTTCTTTATCCAAAATTTAACTTCTGTAAGCTTTAGAAATTTTTTAGAGAAATTATTGATGAATTTGGAGCTATGGGTACTAATGATTTTATATTGTTGTAATGTTTGTATTCACTCCTTGTTTGTTTCTGTAAGTCAAAACCTTTAGGTATTTTCATAATAAACTCTGTTATATCTGAAATTTAGTGTAAGTCTATCTAATTTAATTTCTAAAATCTGTTTTGCATTGCATGTCTTATAACATCTTTACTTGGAACAAAAACATCTTTATAACATCTTTACTTGGAACAAAAGTATAAAAGTTGCAAGATCATTTTAAAAATAAATGTTTGTATACAAGTACATTGCAATATCACAATTTAGATTTTGAGTTATGTTTATATACAAATTTGTTTCATAGTAATAAATGATGTGGTTGAAGTTAATTTTTTAAATAAATCTTTATTTTTTTTTTATTTCGTGCTGAAGTTCTTTTTTTTTTGTTATCAATTTCCTTTTTTAATTCTTGATGCTCTATTATAAAACAACGCATTAAATTCAACATAATTTGCTGGATCATTGTTTGAAAAATTTGTATTACTTACATTAAATAGTATAAATCTTCGAGCTTTGTAGCTTATCTTAAACGAAAAATATCGATTTTTAAACAATAGTGCTCTGTCAGGAAAACTGAACATACTCTAATTTTATATTTTATGGTAAATAATTTACTATGACGCAATAATGTAGGAGTTGAACGGTTAATTAGCTTTTTCTATAATTCTCTGAGCTGTAGTTGTTTTTATACTGTTACATATACGTGTGTGTGTTGATAATGGATAACAAATCCGTACTCAAATGGTAGTTTGCAGTTTTACAAGTTAGAGCATCCTTTAACATTTTGTATCATACATAAATCATCTTCCACATTTCTAGATTGTACTCTATATTTTTACAATCGATGAGAGCGCATGTTTTCGATCTCTTGAAACTTCTATATGGTATAGGTTCAGTATTTGCATGTTTTTCCATTACAAACCTCTATAACTTAAACCTTTGAAATAATGTTTATTTACGTTTTTACTTCGTTTTATTTCTGCGCGCGCATAAATTTTATATCGGAACTGTGAAAAGGTGTATTGCACCACAAACATTTTTCCTTGCGTTTATATATTGTCTTAATCTGCTGTTGCTGCATAAATATTATTTCTTTTTAGCAATCTCTTTTTTTGTTTTGTCCTTGTTTGCTGAATCTGCTCCAAATATTTTAATCTATTCAACACCTTTGAATAGATTAAAATGCCACCAAGTTGGCATTTTAAAAGGAAGACTTTTAAAATGCCAACTTTTTCACATTTATATTTAGTTACTTGTTTTAATGTTTATTCAGTCTACAACTCAATAAATACATGAAATTCTAACTATTGACCGTGTATAACTCAATAAATACATGAAATTCTAACTATTGACCGTGTATAACTCAATAAATAAATACATGAAATTCTAACTATTGAACGTGTAAACGGAGAGAAGTGTTAAAGTGCAAATTTAGCACTTTTGTATTAAAAAAGAATTTTCCGATTTATAAAATCAAGCAGCTCCCAGTGGGCAATACTTTAGATGCTTTTGGAGTAAAACCAAAAAAAAGAAGCATTTATGTCGTTAGCTAAAAATGTTTTACTAAAGCTTTTACCTTAACCAATCAAAGAAGATTGTAAAGAAAATAAAAAAGATGATTTTGAAATCGAAGTAGAAGGAAATTTTGATATAAAAACACAGAGAGAAAAAGCTATGCAAAGTGCTAAGCTATAACAAGAATTAAATAATTGAGATCTCAGTATAAAATCTCTTAATAAAATATATACTGTCTTTGAGTCAACAAAAAAACCTGATTCTAATTTAACGAGTTTATTTAAGTGTTTAAAAACAATCCGAACAACATTTTTTGAAAGTGAACAAGCTTTTAGTGCTTGCGGATCGTTTTTAACTTTATGAGTAGCTTAAATGAAAATACCATTGATACCTTATGTATTTTAAAAAGTTACTACAACAATAATAAACGTGATAAAAATTAAAACTAAAGTAGCTTTGTTGAAATAAAATGCTACAAAAAAATTATTTCAGTTTGACTGTGGTTATATATATGTTTTAAAAATAATTTTTTTTTGTGTAAAATAGTTTTTTTAATTTCTTTTTAAGTAAAAAATTTGATCTGGAATGGAATCCGGGTCTGCATCTTTAAAACCCGTGTAGAATCCGGATCTGGACCCTTATTATTTTATTTAATCCGTTATAGCCTATAGGCCACAACGGATTAGGCAAAATTTGTTTTTGGTACCCGCGCAAAACAAAAAATAGGTCAGCGGTAATAATAAAAGAAATCGTTAAAAAAAGTAGTTACAACAAAAATGCAAAACAGACTAATTTAGCTTAAATAAAAGAAATCGTTAAGAAAAGTAATTAAAACAAACAATAAACAACAAACTTTTAGCGTTTTAGGTTAGCATAAGAAAATAGTTTTGCTGTTAAATAATAAAAAAATATTGTTAAAACCTGAAATTAATAGATTTTCTAGTGTAAAAAAGTAATGCCTTAATACTTTACTTATATATAGTAATTAAAAAATTGGTTTTTAAAGTAAATCAGTAAAAAAATATCTTATTAACGTAGAAATATAAAAAAAAAAGTTAAGTAAAGAAAAGAATACTGAAAACTAAAGTTGATCAATACGTTTGTCTTGCTCGAGAAAGAGAACGGAAATCATGAGCAATAGCAAATGAATCAGCTGAGCAACGAGCATCTTGGCTAAAAATAGCATAAAACTTGGACATTCTTTTAAGCTTTAATATGATTGATTGGAAATAATGGCCTCTAAAGTAATGTTACCATTAACCAGTTTGTCACACTTAACACACAGAACAATATTCGAGTCATTCCAAATTATCCATCTTTTGTCTAGCAATCAGCAAATCCTGAAAAAATAACAGTTCAAGAGAAACCAAAGAATGAAGGTGTACAGCTTCAAAGTGCGTACACTTCAATAGCAAGTGTGTCAATAATTTTGCCTGCTTCTTCGAATCAACGCATTTCGTCTATTTTTATAAGAGACTTTGCAGAAATTTGATGCTTTGCAATGGCTACCGCTAACATTGTTCAAGCAGTTTTTCTTAATCCAGGTCAATGGACAAGAGACATTTTGAATGAAAATATGGTTACTGGAGATTATATTTTATTTAAAACTTGTAAAATTACACGGTTTAGTAAATACAAAGTCTTTCCGGTTCCGTGGAAGACTTTTTTATTTAATAAATCTACTAATGGTATCGTGACAATCAACTAGAATAATTACAAGATAATCTTAATTTTGTGAGACGTAGCTGCATTTTCTACCAAAGAGAAATTTCTTTTGAATACGACGTAATTGACTCTGTATAGAAGATTTGATTGATGCATGAAATGATGGTGAGGTGTCACTTACTTTACTTACTGGTCTGAACCAATTGTTTGTAGAACATAATGCTGGCGTATTAATTAGATTGTCAAAAATATTGACACTAACGCATTTTAATGACAAGCATTAATTTGCTGATTAGCACTCATGTA